AAAATTATGTCATGACGTTGACTGAGAGTTGAATAAGGCTGCAGTTTGATACGATGCCAAGACTTGTGTGTGTGTTAGCGTGACACTGCAGGTAGAGGATGACTGTAATCAAGGATGTATACAATGAGTTCACTTGGACATCCTGTGCTATCATGAACGAGATGACATTTAAAAATGCAGTGTGCTCTCTTACCACTTTAAAACATACATTAACTTCAAGTAGTGTAATAGTGAATAAATATTTTTTTCTTTTAACAAGTTTTTATTTAATTTTTTTGAATATGTATCAACCCACACAGACACTTCACAAATCAATGAAACAAAAAACACAATCCTAACAAAGACAACCACAACCGACAAACAAAACAAAACAAAAACCATTGGCACCCTGGACAGCAACGTGTCTGGCAGAGGACATTTGTTGCATGTCGTTCCCCATGCATCTCTTCCCTCATCTCCTGTCATCTCTAATGTGTGCTCTACTACTTTCATATAAAGGCATAAAATGCCATTATTATAACATAAAAAACCTCCACTTATGCCAGTAAACTTTTGGTGGTATAATGTCACACTGATCTGTTTTTCGTGTCAGCAATATGCTTCCGTAGAACTACCGTACATGTCACAGATTTCAGTGTAACACCAGCTCCAGTGTTTCCTGAGGATCATACTGAAAAGTAGTTGACATGGTGACATGGTGCTCCCAGTGCTCCCAGTGCCTCAGTGGATTTATTTACGCTACGTTATGATTTGATTTTATTTAGTTTGTATTTTACACTGATGTAACTTTTATCATTAATAATAAATATACACTTTAGGGCATAGTTGACACATGTTCATACACATATCAGTAATCTATAGCTGCTTTTCCGGTGCAGGGCTGTGGAATCAAGTGTATCCTAGCTGACACTGGGCATGATGGGATTGGACAATAATCCAGTAATAATACTATTTTTGTAATTAATAACACAATTTGTATATCTATATATAAATGTAACATGGAATTTTATAGAAATATGTCACAGCATAGAATTCTCAAGTCCTGATCAGTCTGTGACACTGATTAATTATTTCATAATGACTACTACTTACAGAATAAGTGTAGAACAGAGGAGCGCACTGTCAACAAAACTATTTTATTGCTGCTCATTCCTTCTGGAATACAAATTCTGAATTAAAGTGCAAACATATTTGTTCAATCAACAGATAAGGAGGATGTAGGAATTATTATATTGGACTTTTGAAAGGCGTCAGACATCCATTCAGCACATGTTTGGCAATAAAACATCAGTTCCCATTCCAAAGAAGGTGGGAGCAAAAAATGTGCAGTCTCAAATAAAGGGCTTTTAAGTGCAGTCTGATTACCTGCTCAGGAGACAGCAAGCCCAGGGTGACAAGGATGAGGTGGAGATGTGTGTGGTTGTGTTTCCTTTCTTTGTCTGTTGCCAGTGTCATTGATGTCCAAGCTAGACTGGGTAAGGTTCAAATGGTTTTGGATACTGTTGAACATTTTCAAGACTGTGTGAATTGATTATTCTGCTTTATTTATACATACAAGTGAATTATGTATAGCACTGTCTCCAATATCAGTAATGTAGAGCATTTACTAACTCAAAATTGTTTTCTACACTTTAAAATCATCCCCAGTTCGCAACCATGTCAGCAGCATCTGCAGCACTTGGGGAAGAGAGCACTTCAAGACATTTGATGGTGATGTGTACCAGTTCCCTGGTATGTGTGAATACAACCTGGCCTCAGACTGCCATGAGTCCTACCAGGAGTTCTCAGTGCACATGAAGAGGAAAGAGAATGATGGAAACCCTACAGTCAGTTATGTGGTGGTCACCATCAATGACCATTTATTCCACCTCACTAAGAGCCAGGTCACTGTGAATAGTCTTCCGTAAGTAAAAAGCTGTATTGCCTGTGAAAACAAGTGTAATCCTCTTTTCTATGACATTTATTAATTATTTAATAAAAAAACATTTTTCTTGTTCCCAGTATCAAAATGCCATACTACAACGCAGGGGTCCAAGTGGAAAGAAATGCTGTTTACATCAAGCTCCAATCTAAAGTCGGCCTCATTGTCACGTGGAATGGTGATGATGCAGTCATGGTAAAAAGTTAAAATAAAGATTTTCATCGTCTATTACTCTGCTAAAAACTGTATCTTGTTAAGAACATCAGAGCACCTATGGTGTGATACCCCAGGCAAAAATATATCTACACAGCTCTCCTTAAAGTATATCGTATGAGGCACAAGTGCATTGTAAAAAAAAAGATTTAAAAAAGTTGAGAGTCTTTTATTCATGTGGATTCTTTCAGTCACTTCTCTCTCTTGATTGAGTTATACTTGACAAATAAGAAAAAACAGTGGTAATGAGAGTACATAAGTTTGAAGTATGATAGTACAAACCCCTTGCTGTGTTGTAGGTGGAACTGGATCCTGATTATGCTAATCGAACTTGTGGACTTTGTGGAGACTTCAATGGTGTTTCTGTCTACAATGAGTTCATTCATAATGGTATGTGTGGTTATTCACTTTGGGTATTTATGCATTCAAACAATCATCCACTGTATCTTTGATATTTCACACTATTACAATCAACTGCAGGTCGCAAAATGAGCCCCATTGAGTTTGGCAACAATCAGAAAGTCCATCGTCCAAACGACAATTGCGAGGACCCTTTTGAAGAGGAAGATGAATCACTGGAGGCTGTTACTGTGCCGGATTCATGCAAGGAGTTTGTGAGTTTATTATCCAACTAATTTTGGCATTTTGTAGCATTTTCAACACAGTAACTTTGTCTCTTTTACCCATCTCTTTTTACCTTTTAGCAAACCACCTGTGAACGAATGCTTCGTTCAGAGTCCTGGAGCTCCTGCACCAAACTGATTAACCCTGAACCTTACATCCAGGCCTGTGTGCAGGACATGTGTGGCTGCAACAACAGAACAAATGACTTCTGTGTCTGCAGCACGCTTTCGGAGTTGTCTCGACAGTGCTCCCACGCAGGAGGGCAGCCTCCCAACTGGAGGACACCTCAGTTCTGTGGTAATGTTTGTGTCCTCTATTTTTGTTTTGTTAACATCTTAATAATTTATACAGTACAGGATGGAGAGGTTACTAAAGCACTGAAAAAAGCTCAGTGAAAGGTTTTTAAATATTTTAATAGTTCTTTGAATTAAAGGTACTATGGTACTGTATACGGTGGCACGGTGTTGCAGTGGTTAGCACTGTCGCCTCACAGCAACGCGGGTTCAAACCCCGTTGCCCTGGCCTTTCTGTGTGGAGTTTGCATCTCCGGGTGCTCCAGCTTCCTCCCACTGTCCAAAGACATGCGGACTAGGTAATTAATTGGTGACCCTAAATTGTCCTTAGGTGAGCATGAGTGGTTGTTTGTCTATGTGTGGCCCTGCGATGGACTGGCCAGTCCAGGGTGTACCCGCCTTTCGCCTGATGTCAGCTGGGATTGGCTCCTGCCTGTACACAGGATAAGTGGTTGACGATGGATGGATATTACTGTATGAATATTATTACATTTTCTCATGTAGCTCTAGGGTGTCTATTTTACAATTTAGCAAAAACAGTTTCAAACTACACAAGTGCAAGTGAAATAATTACACAACAAATCTACTTTTGTTACACTAAATAAAATTAGTTTCATCCACCTTTGATATACTATTGAATAATTCACACCTGCCTCAGTTTTTTTGTCAATTGCACCTTATCTTCGCAGCTAAACAGTGCCCATTCAACATGGTTTATGAAGAGAGTGGTTCCCCTTGTATAGACACATGCACACATCTGGACACAAGTTCACTGTGTGAAGGCCACAAAATGGATGGCTGCTTCTGTCCTCCTGGTTGGTACTCTTTACATATGCACATTTTTCATGTTTCAGTTTTTGTTACCCTTAAAGTTTCTTTTAGACTTCATCTTCCTATTCTGTGAATATTCATGTTCATGTCACATGTGTTTATGTCAGGAACTGTGTTTGATGATATTTCCTTGAGAGGGTGCATTGCTCAATCTGAATGTCAGTGCAAGCACGACAAAATCTATAACCCTGGTGAAGTTTACCGACAGGACAGAGAGGAATGGTATGTCACGTATTTCATAATGTCAGTAACATAATATTTCATACTGGTCTCCTTAAACATTTATATTTTTTTGCTAACTTTAATTATTTGAATTGTTCTAGCACATGTTTTGAGGGTAGATGGGCTTGTGAGAGCCTTCAGACTCCTGCTACATGTGCAGTGGAAGAGGGTTCACATGTAACTACATTTGATGGGAAAACTTACACCTTTCATGGAGACTGTTTCTACACCCTAGCCAAGGTGGAAAGCAAGGTGAATCAACTGTTGCTTTAAAATATATAATTTGCTGATGAAAGAAATTTGCTATTTAATTTTGCCCATACAATGTGTATTTCAGACTGATTCAAGTCCAAAGTTTACCATCCTGGTTCAGTTGGTGCCATGTAGACATCTAGAGTCTGACACTTGTCTTAAGACCCTTAAAATCCTGCTGAACAATGACAAAACAACGTGAGTTAAAGAAGAGTAGTTATTTATTAATTCATACTGATATCTGCAACTCTCCAATGATCAATTGTATTTTTATTCAGGTGTTGACGTTCACTTCCGATGGTACAGTAAAGCAGAATATGCAGACTATCACTTTGCCACACCACTCAGGTGGGTCACACAATATGAAACTCTTGTATGTATGAATTATACATATTATTGTCTTCTTTCATTTATGCATCAGCAAATGATCTGACTTTTTTTGGGAATTTGTCTTTATTCAAAGGTGACATCAACATATTCCATGCTTCATCCTTTCACATCTTGCTCCAGACCAGCTTTGGGTTGCAAATTCAGATCCAGCATGTGCCTGTCATGCAAGTCTATGTCAGCCTGGAACAGAGCTACAGAGCAAAGACACGTGGTACGTTTTACCTTTGTCTTCACATGAAATATTGGCATCATCAAATTATTTTGTAACATTAGAATACAGTACATTAATGCATTATTAGTTGCCGTAGATATTGCATACTACAGTCTGGCAATGATGACAACAGTAATGTTGATTTATTAGGGTATTATGAAACAAAACAATACAGTCTTATAAATTTATCAGTTAAAAACCCACAATATTTATTGGCTAAGTAGTGCTAAACAGTTGGACACAAATGTGTATTATAATATTTGGTAATAGTTTAATAGTCAGTAATCACACAGAAAATTTCGAAATCCCTGGTTGTCACCCCATCATGTTCCACCCATCCCTGAATCCCTCCAAACAAAAAACAATATAAGGTATATAAATACATGAGTAAATGAAATAGGGGTGGCTTTCAAATATACATCAATTGTATACAATTTTATCTTAATTACAATAAATGAACCATATTCCTAATCCCGTGTCTTTAGGTTTATGCGGGAATTACAACATGGTCCTGTCTGATGACATGAAGACTCCACAGGGGATCGTGGAGGGAACAGCAGCAACTTTTAGTAACTCCTGGAAGGCTAACTTCATGTGCCGAGACAGAGAGGAAAGACTTGATGACCCCTGTGCCTTCAGTGTGGAAAATGGTAAAAAAAAAAAAATACACTCACTGATTATACTACTGTTTGTTTGTTTATTAGACATTTAGACAGTTCAACAGAATAGTGGACAGTAAAAGTTAAAAGTTAATTGTTCTCCACTTTTAGAGAATTACGCAAAACACTGGTGCACCTTGCTACTAAGTCCAAACAGTACCTTTGCACAGTGCCATTCAGTGACGGATCCTGAGATGTACTACAAGGTACAGCAAAAAATTCTCATCTTTGACTGACTTACATTTTGATGAGTATAATTTTGTGTTAAGTGTTTGCTCTCTTCTGCAGCGATGTACTTATGCTAGCTGTAACTGTGAGAAGAGTGAGGCCTGCCTCTGTGCTGTCTTCTCCTCCTATGCCAGAGCTTGTGCATCAAAGGGAGTGTTCCTGACAGACTGGAGACAGAATGTTTGCGGTAAGTATTTATTTCATTGTTATGTTTTGGTAAAGTTGAGTGAGTGAGTGAGTTTGATGAACATCTTCCCTTTCGTTTGTTAGACATAAAACTATGAAGTAATCAACTTTACATTGTGCACAAAACAGATAAATACACAAGGAGCTGTCCAGCATCTCAGACCTTCTCTTACAAGAATCAGAGATGCCAGCTGACTTGCAGATCGTTGGGCGCAAAGCAGAAAAGCTGCACTTCTGACTTCTTGCCTGTGGATGGCTGCTCCTGCTCAGAGGGTCTCTACCTAAATGAAAACGGTTTGTGCGTCCCCATGGCAAAATGCTCCTGCTACCATAATGAAGTCTACATCCAGGCAGGAAAGTCCATCAGCATGAAAGACGAGCACTGGTGAGTAAGTTGTTTGCAATTTGGTGTCAATGGACTTAAAATAATTTATCCTGGACTAAGGTTTTTAGCATGAATGCAATGTCTGTTGTATGTGAGAAACTAAATTGTTAGTGTTGTACTTTTATTTTTAATTTAAAATGTCTTTTTCTAGTGTGTGCACTAATGGAATACTTCATTGCCATTCTATGAGATCCCGCTCATCAAGTATGTTTCACTTTTTGTTTGTTTTTTAAGCACAACACAACTTTTTGGTTGATAAAATGTATATTAAATTAGTTTCTGCTTCTTTTACAGTATGCCCTTTTCCAAAAGTATTCTACAACTGCTCCACTGCAGGCACAGGAGAGCTTGGACTGCAGTGTGCTCGAACTTGTTTAAATCTGGACAGCAATGATTGTGTGAGCTATTTATGCATGAGTCCAAATTGACGTCTTGGTCTCAAATCACTGGATCTAATATATATTTCCTGAATTTAAAGGTGTAATGTAACAATACAGTGTGTTACACCTTAATTAGTTTCTGTAGCATTTTCTGGAGAATTTTGCACACGTAATTCTTAACAAGTATCAGTAGTGTTTTCTCATTTTCTATCCCTGTGATCTTTCCATTTTCCCAGGACTCCACAGAGTGTGAATCTGGCTGTCAGTGTCCAGGTGGCCTTATTGATGATGGCAAAGGCTCCTGTGTGAAAGAAAATGAATGTCCATGTCAGCATGATGGGCGTCTTTATAGTGCTGGAACAAAAATCCCTAACCAGTGCAACAGCTGGTACGAACTTGTTTTAATCAGATGTATGATGTAGCATGGTAAACAAATATTATCATGTTTGCCTGCATGTTTTTTTTTTAATTGCAGTATTCAAATCACTATTATTATTATTTTTTTTTTTTCCCAATTTCCGATACATCTAGTACCTGCAAAAATGGAAACTGGGAGTGCACAGAAAAAATGTCCTGGAACTTGCATTATTTATGGGAGTGGTCACTACAATACATTTGATCAGCGAACATATGGGTTTCAAGGACATTGCGAATATGTTGCTGTTAAGGTAAACAAAGCATGTCAAAATCTTCTAAATGACAGGCTGTGTCTGAAATCACCCCATTTTCGCTCTTTCACTACTCACTATCTTGTACACTTAATATTTTACTTAATCGTGAGCAGTTAATTGAGAATTCAAAATGCAGCACATTGCATGGTGGGATTGTCAGTAAAAAGTAGTGTCCATGCCATGGATCTTTTGTACAATTTAACAATCTAATAAAATATATACAGTAAATGTACTGCACTATATGGTAAGTAGGGAGTGATTTAAGACACAGCCAAAAGTTATACTTAATATTATATCCTCTCAGTCTCCATCTCATTAATTCATGGATGACGTTTATAAAACCTATTGCTAATCTTGAACACCAGAGTTAAGAGACAGTCAATTTTTGATGATTGCCTCAACTATGGTATATTTACTGACATTCACTTTAAAATAAGTGCTTGTCATAATGAGAAACATGAATGAAAATTGCATATAACTAATGTGATTGTGCTCTCCTGGGGATCAATTACACTTGATTTTATGTCCTAGCTTTTCTGGAAAAATATTAATATTGTGGGCTAGTAAAGGCCAAGCTGAAGTTTGATTTGATCAATGGTCTCTGTGTACTGTGAAGCAAACATGCAAAATGTTGATAATAATAATAATGAATATCTCTCTTTTAAGAACAACTGTGGGACTAAAACAGTACAGGACAACTTTGGTGTTATCACAGAAAATGTACCATGTGGAACTACAGGTACTACATGCTCCAAAATTGTCCGAATCCAACTGGGGGTAAGACAAAATACCAGCACCTGCTTTCTGTGCCTAAAATTCTGAACATAACTCAATACATTATGTCATATATCAAGCTGCAGTTTTTACTTTACAATGAAAACAACTGAAATCTCCTTAACATTGCAGCGAATGGAAGTCAAACTATCAAAGGGTCACTATAAGGAAGAGGACCTTGGAGATGGCCCTCAGATTCAGTACAAAATAAGGAGGGTTGGGTTGTATCTGGTTATAGAATCTGCCATTGGTCTGACAGTGATGTGGGATCGCAAAACAACTGTTCGCGTCCTCCTAGAACCACGGCACAGCGTGAGTCACTGTGGTTGTTGATGGAGTCATTGTTTGTGATGATGACTGAAATCTCTTTCAGTGTCAGAGTTTTAGAGTTTTGATATGATGGACCATTTTTTTCTCATCTGTAGTTTTTCTATCTTGGCTGATCATTTTGTTTTGCCCTTTATAAGCTTTCTGACAAAAATGGCAACACTTCCAATATTCATAACATATGAAGTAAATACAATTGAATATTCTGTTTGTCAACATAATACAGGTGTAGTGACGCCTGGAAAATGCTTGTTTCTTGTATCTATATAGAATATTGTCCTCTTATAAAGTAAGGAACTGACTCCTTTTGTTCGGCCATACAGGGAGAGGTATGTGGCCTGTGTGGAGATTTTGACGGTGATGGACAGAATGACTTCACCACCCAGGGTCAGCTGGCAGTGAGCAATCCATTAGAGTTTGCAAACAGTTGGAAAGTGTCAAGCAGCTGCGCAGATGTGGAAATGAATGTTGACCCTTGTGGAGCAAGACCTAATAGACATCACTGGGCAAAAATGATGTGCAGCATTATAATTGCAAAGGATGGTACTTTCAAAGACTGCCACTATAAGGTAATGTTTGCTAATTATCATCATTTAAAGTAACATGATTTAATGTTAAACACATTATAAAAATCGATCATATGTTTTTATAACTAAACAGGTAGATCCCCATCCATTTTATGAAAACTGTGTGACAGACTCATGTGCTTGTGACTCTGGAGGAGACTGTGAGTGTTTCTGCACAGCAGTTGCATCTTATGCTCAAGCTTGTAATGAGGCCGGTGTCTGTGTTGCATGGAGAACTCCAGAGATCTGTCGTAAGTAAACAACAATTTCCAAGACCATGTTTTTAGATCCCCAAATCCTTATGACCCCAGCATTTGAGATTTGATATGTGTGATGTATGTATGGGAATTCTTTGCTAAGATATTATATTCTGCCCTGTTTATTTTTTTTATATATAAAATGTGTGAATGGGCACCAAATCTAATTAAAGCTGACATATATTACAGAGACTCTATGGGTATCAGTGCATGCTTCATGAAAAGTATGTTTTTAAAGACTTCCCTGATTTGTATACTTCAATTTATGCTTAAATGAAGTGTGATTTTGTGTTATAAAATGTTATTGAATTTATTTTGTTGGCATGAAGGTTGTTTTTATCATTATCTATACTATTCTTTTTTCTGACATTTGGTGTGAGTGACAACTTCCTTTGTTAACTAAAATCGAATGCAAGAATATAACAGGTGGTTTGAAGTTTGAGTTCTCAGTGACACTTTATACAGAGATGAATCTACTGTTTTAAATCAACATTTCCTTTATTTAAAACATAACATCCATTGTGTCTTTTCTTTTAGCTGTCTTTTGTGACTACTACAACAGCCCAGGTGAATGCAAATGGCACTACAACCCTTGCCACACACCTTGCTACAAGACCTGCTTGAATCCACAAGGAATTTGTAGCAACCCTATACCCCACCTGGAAGGTAAGAGGTTAACTCACGATGTCTCACCTTACCTCTCATTCATGTGCTTGTTAAAATAGTAAATGTTGAAGTGATTCTATTTGAAAGAGTACCTGGCCAGCTTCAGCTTCTGTGATTTTTGCAGGCTGTTACCCTGTATGCCCAGAAGATAAGCCCATATTTGATGAGAAGACCCAGATGTGTGTGGAGGAATGTCCAGGTTGCTTTTACAATGGAACTAGATATGAGGAAAATGATGTTATTTACAACGTGACTGACAATTTGGGAACGTGCTACCATGCAATATGCTTTAATGCAACAGTGATATTTGGAAATGAAATCTGCACAACACCTGAACCTCCAACTACAACACCAGTGTCAACTATAACCACACAAACTACAACTGAACCTCCCACTACAACCACAGTGCCAACTACAACCACAAAAGGTCCAACTGAACCTCCAACCACAACACCAGGGCCAACTACAACCACACAAACTACAACTGAACCTCCAACTACAACACCAGTGCCAACTACAACCACACAAACTACAACTGAACCTCCCACAACAACCCCAGTGCCAACTACAACCACAGAAGCTACAACTCCTACCACTACTCCGTGTATTACAACCTGCGAGTGGTCAGACTGGTATGATGTGCATAACCCTCAAAAGGACAAAAGTGACTGGGAAACATACAAGAACATCACAGATAGTGGTCTACAAATATGCAAAAAACCCACAGAAATTGATTGTAGAGCAACAATTTCTCCTAACAAAGACTTCAATGACTTTGTGAGTGAAACTGGCCAAGTTGTTACCTGTGATGTTGGATATGGTCTGATATGTCGAAAAGAGGATCAGGTCAGACCTCCACGGAAATGCTTCAACTATAAGATCAGAGTATGTTGTGAGGTAGAGATATGTATTACTACAACCACAGTGCCAACTACAACCACAGGGCCAACTACAACCACACAAACTACAACTGAAACTCCAACTACAACCACACAAACTACAACTGAAACTCCAACTACAACCACAGTGCCAACTACAACCACAAAAGTTCCAACTGAACCTCCAACTACAACACCAGGGCCAACTACAACCACACAAACTACAACTGAACCTCCCACTACAACCACAGTGCCAACTACAACCACAAAAGGTCCAACTGAACCTCCAACCACAACACCAGGGCCAACTACAACCACACAAACTACAACTGAACCTCCAACTACAACACCAGTGCCAACTACAACCACACAAACTACAACTGAACCTCCCACAACAACCCCAGTGCCAACTACAACCACAGAAGCTACAACTCCTACCACTACTCCGTGTATTACAACCTGCGAGTGGTCAGACTGGTATGATGTGCATAACCCTCAAAAGGACAAAAGTGACTGGGAAACATACAAGAACATCACAGATAGTGGTCTACAAATATGCAAAAAACCCACAGAAATTGATTGTAGAGCAACAATTTCTCCTAACAAAGACTTCAATGACTTTGTGAGTGAAACTGGCCAAGTTGTTACCTGTGATGTTGGATATGGTCTGATATGTCGAAAAGAGGATCAGGTCAGACCTCCACGGAAATGCTTCAACTATAAGATCAGAGTATGTTGTGAGGTAGAGATATGTATTACTACAACCACAGTGCCAACTACAACCACAGGGCCAACTACAACCACACAAACTACAACTGAAACTCCAACTACAACCACACAAACTACAACTGAAACTCCAACTACAACCACAGTGCCAACTACAACCACAAAAGTTCCAACTGAACCTCCAACTACAACACCAGGGCCAACTACAACCACACAAACTACAACTGAAACTACAACTACAACCACAGTGCCAACTACAACCACAGTGCCAACTACAACCACACAAACAACAACTGAACCTCCCACTACAACCACAGTGCCAACTACAACCACAAAAGGTCCAACTGAACCTCCAACTACAACACTAGGGCCAACTACAACCACACAAACTACAACTGAAACTCCAACTACAACCACAGTGCCAACTACAACCACAAAAGTTCCAACTGAACCTCCCACTACAACACCAGGGCCAACCACAACCACACAAACTACAACTGAACCTCCCACTACAACCACAGTGCCAACTACAACCACAAAAGGTCCAACTGAACCTCCAACTACAACACCAGGGCCAACTACAACCACACAAACTACAACTGAACCTCCAACTACAACACCAGTGACAACTACAACCACACAAACTACAACTGAAACTCCAACTACAACCACAGTGCCAACTACAACCACACAATCTACAACTGAACCTCCAACTACAACCACAGTGCCAACTACAACCACACAAACTACAACTGAAACTCCAACTACAACCACAGTGCCAACTACAACCACACAAACTACAACTGAACCTCCCACTACAACCACAGTGCCAACTACAACCACACAAACTACAACTGAAACTCCAACTACAACCACAGTGCCAACTACAACCACAAAAGGTCCAACTGTACCTCCAACTACAACACCAGGGCCAACTACAACCACACAAACTACAACTGAAACTCCAACTACAACCACAGTGCCAACTACAACCACACAAACTACAACTGAACCTCCCACTACAACCACAGTGCCAACTACAACCACACAAACTACAACTGAACCTCCCACTACAACCACAGTGCCAACTACAACCACAAAAGGTCCAACTGTACCTCCAACTACAACACCAGGGCCAACTACAACCACAAAAGGTCCAACTGAACCTCCAACTACAACCCCAGTGCCAACTACAACCACAGAAGCTACAACTCCTACCACTACTCCGTGTATTACAACCTGTGAGTGGTCAGACTGGTATGATGTGCATAACCCTCAAAAGGACAAAAGTGACTGGGAAACATACAAGAACATCACAGATAGTGGTCTACAAATATGCAAAAAACCCACAGAAATTGATTGTAGAGCAACAATTTCTCCTAACAAAGACTTCAATGACTTTGTGAGTGAAACTGGCCAAGTTGTTACCTGTGATGTTGGATATGGCCTGATATGTCGAAAAGAGGATCAGGTCAGACCTCCACGGAAATGCTTCAACTATAAGATCAGAGTATGTTGTGAGGTAGAGATATGTATTACTACAACCACAGTGCCAACTACAACCACAGGGCCAACTACAACCACACAAACTACAACTGAAACTCCAACTACAACCACAGTGCCAACTACAACCACAAAAGGTCCAACTGAACCTCCAACTACAACACCAGGGCCAACCACAACCACACAAACTACAACTGAACCTCCCACTACAACCACAGTGCCAACTACAACCACAAAAGGTCCAACTGAACCTCCAACTACAACACCAGGGCCAACTACAACCACACAAACTACAACTGAAACTCCAACTACAACACCAGTGACAACTACAACCACACAAACTACAACTGAAACTCCAACTACAACCACAGTGCCAACTACAACCACACAATCTACAACTGAACCTCCAACTACAACCACAGTGCCAACTACAACCACACAAACTACAACTGAAACTCCCACTACAACCACAGTGCCAACTACAACCACACAAACTACAACTGAAACTCCAACTACAACCACAGTGCCAACTACAACCACACAAACTACAACTGTACCTCCAACTACAACACCAGGGCCAACTACAACCACAAAAGGTCCAACTGAACCTCCAACTACAACACCAGGGCCAACTACAACCACACAAACTACAACTGAAACTCCAACTACTACCACAGTGCCAACTACAACCACAAAAGGTCCAACTGAACCTCCAACTACAACACCAGGGCCAACTACAACCACACAAACTACAACTGAACCTCCAACTACAACACCAGTGACAACTACAACCACACAAACTACAACTGAAACTCCAACTACAACACCAGTTCTAACTACAACCACACAATCTACAACTGAACCTCCCACTACTACCACAGTGCCAACAACAACCACAAAAGGTCCAACTGAACCTCCAACTACAACACCAGGGCCAACTACAACCACAAAAGGTCCAACTGAACCTCCAACTACAACACCAGGGCCAACTACAACCACACAAACTACAACCACAGTGCCAACTACAACCACAGAAGCTACAACTGAACCTCCAACTACAACACCAGTGCCAACTACAACCACACAAAAAACAAGTGAACCTCCCACTACAACCACAGTGCCAACTACAACCACACAAACTACAACTGAAACTCCCACTACAACCACAGTGCCAACTACAACCACACAAACTACAACTGAAACTCCAACTACAACCACAGTGCCAACTACAACCACACAAACTACAACTGAACCTCCCACTACAACCACAGTGCCAACTACAACCACAAAAGGTCCAACTGAACCTCCAACTACAACACCAGGGCCAACTACAACCACACAATCTACAACTGAACCTCCAACTACAACCACAGTGCCAACTACAACCACACAAACTACAACTGAAACTCCCACTACAACCACAGTGCCAACTACAACCACAAAAGGTCCAACTGAACCTCCCACTACAACACCAGGGCCAACCACAACCACACAAACTACAACTGAACCTCCAACTACAACACCAGTGCCAACTACAACCACAAAAGGTCCAACTGTACCTCCAACTACAACCACAAAAGGTCCAACTGAACCTCCAACTACAACACCAGGGCCAACTACAACCACACAAACTACAACTGAACCTCCAACTACAACACCAGTTCTAACTACAACCACACAATCTACAACTGAAACTCCCACTACTACCACAGTGCCAACTACAACCACAAAAGGTCCAACTGAGCCTCCATCTACAACACCAACTACAGAATGCTTCTGTATAGTTAATGGCAAGCATTATAGTCCAGGTAAGGAAATACATTTAAATATTTGACAGTGGCAAGCTATATGCAGTCTCAAATTCTTTCAAATTCAAAAGATTTACCGCTGTGTTTTCTCACCATTAGGGGATGTAATATTTGACATGGAACACATTGGATCAGGTGTATGTCTCACAATGACATGTTCTGCTATTTGTGAGATTCACAACAAGACTGAAATTTGCACGACTACGGCTATGCCTTCAACCACTCCTTCAACCACTCCTTCTGTACCTACCTGCCCTGAATGGGATGTAGGAGTAAGAATCTTAATATACCTAGCACATTAAAACATGTACTAATTTATGTTATACTCATATATTTCATAACACTGCACATTTGCAAATGAAAAGAAAAACAGGTTTCTTGCAGTGATTTTACCCCCTTTTTTCTCTTTACATCAGCAAAATGATACTTTTTATCTGTGCAACTGCACCATGGCCAGATGCATTGAGAACAATACAATTGAAATAATTCCATATGAATGTCCACCTATTGAGAACATCACTTGTGCCAATGGAAAGAAACCAGTTCTTGTGTATGATGAGTACTTCTGCTGCCGACATTACGCTTGTGACTGTACGTTTTTCTATGGTTAAAATAACTCATATGTTTCTCTTTTAAATACATTTTAGATTTTAAACTTTTTTGTTTTTCTTTTCAGGTGTATGTGAAGGCTGGGGAGATCCTCATTACAACACATTTGATGGACTTTATTACAGTTATCAAGGAAATTGTACTTATGTCTTGATGGAAGAGATTTTTCCAAAACACAACTTGAAGATTTATATTGACAATGTCTTTTGTGATCCCACTGAAGATGTTTCTTGTCCGAGATCGATAATTATATCATACAATGGACATGTTTTCACGCTCATAAATCATAACCTTGTTGGAGCAGCACGGTTAGAGGTAAATAGGGTGACATGAAGGCTTTATAGTTACATTATACATTTTGAAAAGCTCACCAGACTAACTTCATGGAGATTAATACTGTTAATGTAAGGGAAACAGCAGTCATGTCATAGTATATTATATTTTTTCTTGTCATATAGTGTATTTATTGTTTTTCCTATAGGCACTCAAAGATGGAGCATCTCTGAAGCTACCTTATTTACCCACACAAACAGGTGTTAAGATCTTGAATTCTGGCATTAACTTGATTTTGGAGATCCTTCGTCTAAATGTGGTCATTACATTTGGAATCACTGGCTTTAGTGTCAATCTTCCATTTAAAAACTTTGGCAATAACACACAGGGTCATTGTGGTAAGAACATCTCTCTCTTCAGCTGCCATATTGGTCAATCATTTGCTTGAGTTTAGACCGTAATATTAACTGTTTTGTGACTCTGCTGTCAGGAACATGCAATAACAACCAGACTGATGACTGCATGTTGCCTGGAGGCCAGCTAGTGGAAAGTTGTGCCGTAATGGCTGACTATTGGCTTACCAAGGACATATCTCAACCTAACTGCCAGATACCATCTGTACTGCCCACCAGTAAACCTGAACCTCCACCAACTCCTTGCAGGCCAGACTCCATGTGTGATCTGCTGAAGAGCAGGTAGACATTCTCAAATCTATCGTAGTAGTTCACATTCACCCCCTTAACTTTGACATATTGCAGTTAAATTATAATAGCTTTTTTATTTGGGTTTTAATATATGTTTTACTTTCACAGTGTCTTTGCAGAATGCCATCCCTTTGTCTCACCTGACAATTTCCACCGAGGTTGTGTTTTTGATAGCTGCCATGTTTCCAACCCAGTAGTGGAGTGCACAAGTTTGCAGACTTACGCTGCTGTCTGTGCTCAGGCAGGGGTTTGCATTCACTGGAGGAATCATACAAAACTGTGTGGTAGGCAACCACTTATGTTAAATTCTAGGATCAGTATAATAAGGAGGGGAAACTCATTTATTTTACTTTTGTTGTATCTAGCACGCATTGAACAGGCTTTTTTTTGTATACAGTATGTACGCTGTATGCCTTTTAAAAATAACCAATTGAGTTATTTTAATTACTAACAGCAAGTGCCTGCCCATCAAACAAAGTGTACAAGCCATGTGGTCCTGCAGAACAGCCAACCTGTGAAGACAAGTAAGTTTCAACAAAAATGAACTGTGCTCATTTTACAGTTTATTTGCATATTGGCATTTCCTACAACAAGGATCTAACTGAACTGACAGTACATATTTCTTGTTAACAACATAGTAATAAGCATATTAGAAAACAGTAAAGTAACTGTGTTACTGTGTTGAGATCTCAAATAAGTACTATCTGTTCTTTCCTGATGATTCAATATTACAGCCCTAATGAACTAACCATGAACTTCACCACTGAGGGCTGCTTTTGTCCTGAGGGAATGAAACTCTTCAACAAAGAGTCTGGCCTATGTGTTAATAAGTGTGGTAAGTCCTCAAGTCTTATCATTGAGTTGAATATATTTCATCAATCTTGAAGTTCTACAGGATTGCTATTTTTCCAACAGGATGTCTTGATCCTGAGGGTATTCCGCGTGAGGTGAGCCAAGTCTTCTATAATGTTAAAATCCTAACTAGTGTTATTTACTTGCAAGAGATAATTATGTCATTACTGTGGTTTGTTCTTTCAGTTTAATGAGAGGTTTGAGTACAAATGCCAAAACTGCATCTGCAACGAGTCCTCCAAGACTGTGTCTTGTAAGCCTAAGGTGTGCCCAACACCCCCTCTAACAAACTGCACTGGTCCAGGGTTTGTCCTTGTCAAACAACCAGATCCCTCAGACCCCTGCTGTTCTGCTGATGTTTGCCGTAAGTTACCTAGCCTCAATGCACATTTGACTTCCACAGATTTCAGAATCCTATTCATCAACAGCTCTGGAGGATGGATCTTAACTATTTACTATCATTGTCTGATCATCACCATAGAATGTCACAGCAACACTTGCCCAGTCACCAGCATGAACTGTCCAGTTGGATACACGTCAGTTGTCAGTGTTCCTGAAGGAAAATGCTGTCAAGAACATATATGTGGTGAGCTTATTAAGTTTGACGTTATAAAGAACCTAGTGACAGAAGTGACACTTTTAACACAGTTTCCATTGTCTTGCTCTTTTTTAGAGCCTAAAAGAGTTTGTGTCCACAAAGGAAGTGAATACCAGGTAAATAAGAAATGGAAATGTGAGAATGATTTGTAATTTGTTAATATATCACCTTTGTCATTTAATAGGATCTATTGCTTTCTGTATGGTTAGAAACACAAGTAAGAATAAATTTCTTCTTTATTTGCTAGCCTGGTACTTTGGTTCCTGTAATAGAATGTCAGAAGTGTCTCTGTACCAATGAAGTGGACCCAAGTACTCGTCTATTCAAGATAACTTGTGAGTTCCAGCATTGTCAAGAAAACTGTGAAATGGTAAGAGAAATGACCCATTATTACCATATACACATTTTTTCCTCAGAACATGTTTACTGGGAGGGTGAAAATCTGGACTTGGCAACTAAATCCCCTCTTTCTTTCAGGGATATGAATATGTGGAAACTGATTCAGATGAATGCTGTGGAAAGTGTGTACAGACACAGTGTGTCGTCAGTGTCAATAGCACCAAGCAACTCTTGATGGTAAGTTGGGTCTGTTGGTAATGACTCCACATGGTCATATTTAATAGGTTAAAGTACCTCAGTATTTTGATATCTGTGTGTGTGTGTGTGTGTGTGTGTGTGTGTGTGTGTGTACATCTCACTGCTCTCCAGCCAGGACAAACCTGGTCACCACCTGAGAATAAGTGCGAGTACTACACCTGTGTGAAGAGTGGTGAAACTTTAACAACGATAAGTTCACACACTGTCTGCCCACCATTCAAAGAAAGCAACTGCCAACCTGTAAGTATCACTTTCAATAAATTATTTTCCATTGACTTAATAAATGCTGTTGATTTTATACTAAATCCTTTTCTGAAAGCAAACGACATCATCCCTTTTGAAAATAGTTTGAAATGTTGTTTATTTTCCTTCTTAGGACACAATTCAGACTGCAGCAAATGGCTGTTGTAAAATTTGTGAGTATGACATTTTCTTTACTTTTAGATAGAAGGTACTTAAATGAAAACAGTAAAATAAAGGGTGTGTCTCTTTTGAAAAGGTGTGGAGCGGGAGAAGGCCTGCAAATTAGAATCCATGAAAACCCAGATTATGCTCAGGGATTGTCAGTCATACCAGGAGGTGGATATGCCCTATTGTGAAGGATCCTGCAACACTTTTGCCAAGTAAGCATGATATTATTAATATTTCTCATATCACAACCTATTACATTTGGTAAATTAAGATTTTTGATATAGTTTCTGCAGATTTTAAGTTTATTAATCAATCCTGCCTCTGCTTTCTTCAGGTACTCTGAAGCAGCAGCAGCTCTGCATTATTCTTGCTCCTGCTGTAAGGAGACACGCTTCAGTAATCGCACCATTGACTTGCACTGCCTGAATGGAGATGTGGTTCCCTACACATACATCCATGTGGAGGAGTGTAGCTGTAGCCCCACAGACTGCAACACAGCTGCTGGACAACCTGCTCGCAGGAGGCGATCATCACATTAGTGGATGTGGGATGTGAAAGTTTTTTCCCATATTGTCTTAACAATCATTGCATCTCCTACAAAATAATTGTCATTGTAGAGAGAGTATTTATCTGTTGATTAAATAAAAAAATTGCAACTCTATTTATGTCCCATCTCATATATTATCTTGTGTCTTTGTGCCAATCCAGCTTTTGTTTGTTCATTGTTTAAATTTGTAATCATGATTATCAATTTTCAAAACTAACAAGAATAGTTATTATCAATTTCACACAGACCCAAAAGATATATCTTTTGTATCTGACATTTGGTATCTTTGGAAGCTCTGGGGTCTCCACTAAAATTTAAAGTTCTCAGATCAGTGGGGTCAACAGTGAACATTTCTAACAGGCTATGTATTGCTGTGGTGTGAGAACAGCTGGTATGCAGTGTATATACTTTTCTCTGTGGCAGTGAGCGACAACAATACTCAGGCAAATGTATCTTATCTTACTCTTATCTTATCTAAATATGATCTTACTACTACGTGTAAGAAAGAAGGTAATGATACCAGGAAACAAGAAAACTTGTGTAAACTTTCTCAGCTGCAGTCCCACCGTCCAGACCTATAACAGTAGGGGGTGTGATTTTACATTCTCTTTAACAACAGCATTGTGGTCAGAGGGCAACAGGAATTAATATTATTATTTAATAATAATTAAATTAATATTATCACCTGCATTATCCCCCAAACGATTTGTACAATGCATCAACAAAAATAAAAATGTTTATTATCAATAGAACTGAATGATTTTGAAAAAATATCTATTTGCAATTATTTGACTGACATTGCAATTGCGATTTGTGATGCTGGGGGCATTCATCATTATTCTCATTTTTATTGAAAAACAAATAAAATTTAATTATGGTGTGATTTTTTTGCAGGAATCTACACCTACGATCTTTAGCTTAAAAAAGTATTTTATACTATATTGTACTGTGTTTATACATTATCTTCAAGAAAGTGCTTTAATGACCGCTTTAATGACCACCTGTTTTTGAAATAATTCTGTGACTGCAATGAGAGGCACAAATAGAGGCCATTTTAACTGATAGAAATCCACATTTAGGTTACTGTGATCGTCAGGTTTAACATGCTGAGGCTGACTGAAAGAATTTATTCCATGTGGGCTGCGATAACTTGAAAATTTAAAAGTTAGAAATGAGTGTTTTGGGGCAACATTAATGCTTGTTTGTATTTTTATTTATCTCATCAAGATCACAACATTTCCGGATGGTTTTTTTTGCATTATGACATCTCACTCAACAATGTGTTTCCTTTGGCTGGAACCCTTTTATTCTAAGGAATGATTTTTGATATCTGAAGTCTAAGGCTTTCCTA